GCCGCCGCACCGGGCCCGGGGCCTGCGCCTGAACCGAGCCCCCCGTGAGGGCACGGCCGGCGGGGCACGGCCGGGGAGTGCCCGGGGTGGGCGCGCAGCGCGGCCCGGCCCCAGCGGGAGCTGCCGGTGGCCTCTCGGTACCCCCCGGTAAAGCCCCGGTAAGGGCCCGGTAAGGGCCCGGCGATGGCGGGACGCGGCTCCGTGCCCAGCCTGAGCAGCCTGCAGAAAACCGCCCTGCTCCTGGGCGTGCCGGCCGCCGCCACCGTGCTCTACATCCTCTACCGGCGCTACCGGGAGAGCCGAGGTGCGTGCGGGGCCCGCACCGGGGCCCGGCCCTGCGCCCCCGGTACCCCCGGGAGCTCCGCGGGGACGGGGAGCCGCTTTTCCCACCGGGAATTGCCTTGTGGGCTCCTCAGGGAGGTCCCTGTCCCTTTGGGACCCTCTGGGGCCACCCTGGGGACACCCAGGGGACACTTTGGGGACACCCAGGGGACACTTTGGGGACCCTTTGGGGACACCCAGGGGACATTTTGGGGACCCCAATGGGAAGTGGGGGACCCTTGGAGTCCCTTTTCCCACCGGGAATTCCCTTGTGAGCTCCCCAGGAAGGTCCCTGTTCCTTTGGGATCCTTTGGGAACACCCAGGGGACATTTGGGGGACACTTTGGGGACACTCTGGGGACACTTTGGGGACACTCGGGGGACCCCAATGGGAAGCAGGGCCCCTTGGGGTCCCTTTTCCTGCCAGGAATTCCCTGTTCCCTGTTTGTGACCCCCCTGGGAAGGGTCCCAGTCCCTTCCTGTCCCTTTGTGACCCTCTGGGGGCACTCTGGGGACCCTCTGGGGACACCTTGGGGACATTTTGGGGACCCTCTGGGGACACTTTGGGGACCCCCGGGGATGTGGGGCCCCCTTGGGGTCCCTTTTCCCGCCGGGAATTCCCTGTTCCCTGTGTGCCCCCACCCGGGGGTCCCCGTGCCCCCCGTGGCCCGGGTCCCAGCCGTGTCCCCGCTGTCCCCGCAGAGGCGCAGGTGACGCTGGTGGCAGACGAGGGGCTGGACGTGGGGCTCAGGGTGCCCCGCACGGCCCTGAAAGCGCTGATCGGCCGCCGGGGAGCCACCATCAACCAGGTGGGGCCACGACTGGGGGGACTGGGAGTGCTGGGAGATACTGGGGGAACCGGGGGGACTGGGGACTGGGGGGACTGGGGAGGCGGCCGTGCTGCGCATCGTGGCCGACAGCGCGCCCGTGGCCGAGCAGCTGCGCGTGCCCCAGCGCGCCGTGGGCAGGATCATCGGTACGGGGCACCCCAAAACCCTGGGGGGATCCTTCTGTACCCCGGGACACCCCAAATCCCTGGGGAACCCCAAATCCCAGTGTACCAAACAGCTCTGCGTGCCCCAGCGGGCCGTGGGCAGGATCATCGGTATGGGGCACCCCAAAACCTCTCACAGCCCCAAATCCTCCAGGGGAATCCTCATAGCCACCCCAAAATCCTGGGGGGATCCCTCCATGGCCACAGGGACACCCCAAATCCCTGGGGAACCCCTTTCGCTGATTTCGGGGTTCCCCCTGTGCCGTGGCTGTCCTGGTGGGATTTGGGGTGGGTTTTGGGTGGATTTCAGGTGGATTTCAGTGGATTTGGGGGGGTTTCAGTAGATTTCAGTGGATTTCAGTGGATTTCAGGTGGATTTGGGGTAGATTTCAGTGGATTTGGGGTAGATTTCATTGGATTTTGGGTGGATTTGGGTAGATTTCAGTGAGACTCAGGTAGATTTCAGGTGGATTTTGGGTGGGTTTCAGTGGATTTGGGGTGGATCTCAGTGGATTTTGGGTGGGTTTCTGTGCATTTCAGTGGATTTGGGGTGGATTTGGGGTGGATCTCAGTGGATTTTGGGTGGGTTTCTGTGCATTTCAGTGGATTTGGGGTGGATTTGGGGTGGATCTCAGTGGATTTTGGGTGGGTTTCTGTGCATTTCAGTGGATTTGGGGTGGATTTGGGGTGGATCTCAGTGGATTTTGGGTGGGTTTCTGTGCATTTCAGTGGATTTGGGGTGGATTTGGGGTGGATCTCAGTGGATTTTGGGTGGGTTTCTGTGCATTTCAGTGGATTTGGGGTGGATTTGGGGTGGATCTCAGTGCGTTTCCCTGCTTGGGGCTCCCCCAGTGCCCAGCCCAGATTTCAGCTTCCCTGCTGACGAGCACCTGGACGTTTACGTGTCGGCGGCCGAGAGCCCCGGGCACTTCTGGATCCAACTGCTGGGCACGCGCAGCCTGCAGCTGGACAAACTGACAGCTGAGATGGGCCACTTCTACCAGAGCAGCCCCGCCGTGAGTCCCCGGTGTCCCCTCGGTGTCCCCTGTCCTTTCTGTGTCCCCTCAGTGTCCCTTGTGTCCCTGCTTGTGTCCTGTCTGTGTCCCAGAACAAGACAAGTTCATGGCCAAGGTGGGGCACTGCTACCAGAGCAGCCCCCCATGAGTCCCCTGTGTCCCCTCAGTGTCCCCTGTCTGTCCCATCTGTGTCCCCTGTGTCCTCTCAGTGTCCTCTCAGTGTCCTCTCTGTGTCCCCTCTGTGTCCCAGCACTGGACAAGTTCATGGCCAAGGTGGGGCACTGCTACCAGAGCAGCCCCCCCATGAGTCCCTGCTGTCCCCTGTGTCCCCTCAGTGTCCCCTCAGTGTCCCCTGGTGTTCCAGCACTGTCCCCACCATGTCCCTTACCCCGTTCCTTTGACCCCTCCCATCCCAGCACTGTCCTCACTGTGTCCCTTACCCCCTGTCCCCCTGTCCTTGCTGTCCCAGCACTGTCCCCTCGTGTCCCTCCCGTGTCCCCTGACTGTCCCAGCACTGTCCCCACCATGTCCCTTACCCTGTTCCTTTGACCCCTCCCATCCCAGCACTGTCCTCACTGTGTCCCTTACCCCCTGTCCCCCTGTCCTTGCTGTCCCAGCACTGTCCCCTCGTGTCCCTCCCGTGTCCCCTGACTGTCCCAGCACTGTCCCCACCATGTCCCTTACCCTGTTCCTTTGACCCCTCCCATCCCAGCACTGTCCTCACTGTGTCCCTTACCCCCTGTCCCCCTGTCCTTGCTGTCCCAGCACTGTCCCCTCGTGTCCCTCCCGTGTCCCCTGACTGTCCCAGCACTGTCCCCACCATGTCCCTTACCCTGTTCCTTTGACCCCTCCCATCCCAGCACTGTCCTCACTGTGTCCCTTACCCCCTGTCCCCCTGTCCTTGCTGTCCCAGCACTGGGGGTGGATCTCAGTGGATTTGGGGTGGATTTCAGTGGATTTGGGGTGGATCTCAGTGGATTTAGGGTGGGTTTCAGTGGATTTGGGGTGGATTTGGGGTGGATCTCAGTGGATTTGGGGTGGATCTCCGTGAATTTGGGGTGGATCTCAGTGGATTTTGGGTGGGTTTCAGTGGATTTGTGGTGGATCTCAGTGGATTTGGGGTGGGTTTCAGTGGATTTGGGGTGGATTTGGGGTGGATCTCAGTGCGTTTCCCTGCTTGGGGCTCCCCCAGTGCCCAGCCCAGATTTCAGCTTCCCTGCTGACGAGCACCTGGACGTTTACGTGTCGGCGGCCGAGAGCCCCGGGCACTTCTGGATCCAACTGCTGGGCACGCGCAGCCTGCAGCTGGACAAACTGACAGCTGAGATGGGCCACTTCTACCAGAGCAGCCCCGCCGTGAGTCCCCGGTGTCCCCTCGGTGTCCCCTGTCCTTTCTGTGTCCCCTCAGTGTCCCTTGTGTCCCTGCTTGTGTCCTGTCTGTGTCCCAGAACAAGACAAGTTCATGGCCAAGGTGGGGCACTTCTACCAGAGCAGCCCCCCATGAGTCCCCTGTGTCCCCTCAGTGTCCCCTGTCTGTCCCATCTGTGTCCCCTCTGTCCTCTCAGTGTCCTCTCTGTGTCCCCTCTGTGTCCCAGCACTGGACAAGTTCATGGCCAAGGTGGGGCACTGCTACCAGAGCAGCCCCCACAGTGAGTCCCCAGTGTCACCTGTGTCCCGTCTGTGTCCCCTCAGTGTCCCCTGGTGTCCCAGCACTGTCCCCACCATGTCCCTTACCCTGTTCCTTTGACCCCTCCCATCCCAGCACTGTCCTCACTGTGTCCCTTACCCCCTGTCCCCCTGTCCTTGCTGTCCCAGCACTGTCCCCTCGTGTCCCTCCCGTGTCCCCTGACTGTCCCAGCACTGTCCCCACCATGTCCCTTACCCCCTGTCCCCGACCCCTCCCATCCCAGCACTGTCCTCACTGTGTCCCTTACCCCCTGTCCCCCTGTCCTTGCTGTCCCAGCACTGTCCCCTCGTGTCCCTCCCGTGTCCCCTGACTGTCCCAGCACTGTCCCCACCATGTCCCTTACCCTGTTCCTTTGACCCCTCCCATCCCAGCACTGTCCTCACTGTGTCCCTTACCCCCTGTCCCCCTGTCCTTGCTGTCCCAGCACTGTCCCCTCGTGTCCCTCCCGTGTCCCCTGACTGTCCCAGCACTGTCCCCACCATGTCCCTTACCCTGTTCCTTTGACCCCTCCCATCCCAGCACTGTCCTCACTGTGTCCCTTACCCCCTGTCCCCCTGTCCTTGCTGTCCCAGCACTGTCCCCTCGTGTCCCTCCCGTGTCCCCTGACTGTCCCAGCACTGTCCCCACCATGTCCCTTACCCTGTTCCTTTGACCCCTCCCATCCCAGCACTGTCCTCACTGTGTCCCTTACCCCCTGTCCCCCTGTCCTTGCTGTCCCAGCACTGTCCCCTCGTGTCCCTCCCGTGTCCCCTGACTGTCCCAGCACTGTCCCCACCATGTCCCTTACCCTGTTCCTTTGACCCCTCCCATCCCAGCACTGTCCTCACTGTGTCCCTTACCCCCTGTCCCCCTGTCCTTGCTGTCCCAGCACTGTCCCCTCGTGTCCCTCCCGTGTCCCCTGACTGTCCCAGCACTGTCCCCACCATGTCCCTTACCCTGTTCCTTTGACCCCTCCCATCCCAGCACTGTCCTCACTGTGTCCCTTACCCCCTGTCCCCCTGTCCTTGCTGTCCCAGCACTGTCCCCTCGTGTCCCTCCCGTGTCCCCTGACTGTCCCAGCACTGTCCCCACCATGTCCCTTACCCTGTTCCTTTGACCCCTCCCATCCCAGCACTGTCCTCACTGTGTCCCTTACCCCCTGTCCCCCTGTCCTTGCTGTCCCAGCACTGTCCCCTCGTGTCCCTCCCGTGTCCCCTGACTGTCCCAGCACTGTCCCCACCATGTCCCTTACCCTGTTCCTTTGACCCCTCCCATCCCAGCACTGTCCTCACTGTGTCCCTTACCCCCTGTCCCCCTGTCCTTGCTGTCCCAGCACTGTCCCCTCGTGTCCCTCCCGTGTCCCCTGACTGTCCCAGCACTGTCCCCACCATGTCCCTTACCCTGTTCCTTTGACCCCTCCCATCCCAGCACTGTCCTCACTGTGTCCCTTACCCCCTGTCCCCCTGTCCTTGCTGTCCCAGCACTGTCCCCTCGTGTCCCTCCCGTGTCCCCTGACTGTCCCAGCACTGTCCCCACCATGTCCCTTACCCTGTTCCTTTGACCCCTCCCATCCCAGCACTGTCCTCACTGTGTCCCTTACCCCCTGTCCCCCTGTCCTTGCTGTCCCAGCACTGTCCCCTCGTGTCCCTCCCGTGTCCCCTGACTGTCCCAGCACTGTCCCCACCATGTCCCTTACCCTGTTCCTTTGACCCCTCCCATCCCAGCACTGTCCTCACTGTGTCCCGTGTCCCTCCCATGTCCCCTGACTGTCCCCCTGTCCCCTGACTGTCCCAGCACTGTCCTCACCGTGTCCCTTACCCCTGTCCCCCTGTCCCTGCTGCCCCAGCACTGTCCCCTCGTGTCCCTTCCGTGTCCCCTGACTGTCCCAGCACTGTCCCCTCGTGTCCCTTCCGTGTCCCCTGACTGTCCTAGCACTGTCCCCATGTCCCTGCTGCCCCAGCACTGTCCCCTGACCGTCCCAGCACTGTCCCCACCATGTCCCTTACCCCCTGTCCCCCTGTCCCTGCTGTCCAGCACTGTCCCCTCATGTCCCTCCCGTGTCCCCTGACTGTCCCCCTGTCCCTGCTGCCCCAGCACTGTCCCCTTGTGTCCCTCCCATGTCCCCTCCCATCCCAGCACTGTCCCCTGGCATCCCCCCCGTGTCCCCTGACCGTCCCCGTGTCCCCAGGTGCCACCCCCGTCGGTGCACGCCGGGGCCATCGTGGCCGCGCCGTACCGGGACGATGGCGAGTGGTACCGGGCGCGCGTGCTGGGGACGCTGGACAACGGCCACCTGGAGCTGCACTACGTGGACTTTGGGGACAACGGCCAGGCCCCCCCCGAGGCTCTGCGGGCCCTCAGGTGTGGCAGGGGGGTGGCACCGGCGGCATGATGTCCCCGTGCCCCGGGACAATGTCGCTGTCCCCAGCAGTGCCCTCACCGTGTCCCTGCAGGAGCGACTTCCTGAGCCTGCCCTTCCAGGCCATCGAGTGCAGCCTGGCCGGGATTGTCCCCAGCGGTGAGGGGGACAGCCCTGTCACTGGCACCTGGGGGGGGATGGCCCTGTCACTGTCACCTGGGGGGGGATGGCCCTGTCACTGTCACCTGGGGGAGGGACAGCCCTGTCACTGTCACCTCCGGGGGGGGGACAGCCCTGTCACTGTCACACCTGGGGGGGGATGGCCCTGTCACTGTCACCTGGGGGAGGGACAGCCCTGTCACCTGCTCTGGGGTGGGACAGCCCTGTCACTGTCACCTGGGGGAGGGACAGCCCTGTCACCTGCTCTGGGGTGGGACAGCCCTGTCACTGTCACCTCCGGGGGGTGGGACATGGCTCTGTCACTGCTGGGAGTGGCACCCGGCCCTGTCCCCCCCAGGGTGTGGCACATGTCCCTGTCCCCTCCCAGGGTGGCACATGGCCCATGTCACCGCTGTCCCAGTGTGTCCTGGTGTGACCAGTGTCCCAGTGTGTGACCGCTGTCTCGGTGTCACCACTGTCCTGCTGTCCCAGCGTGTCCAGTATCCCGCTGTCCCCGCTGTCCCTGCTGTCACCCTGTCCCCAGTGTGTCCCACAGGTGGCTCGTGGCCTGAAGCAGCCCTGGAGGAGTTTGAGCAGCTGTCCTGTCCCTGTGTCACTGTCCCCATGTCCCCGTGTCCCCGCAGGTGGCTCGTGGCCCCAGGCGGCCCTGCAGGAGTTCGAGGGCCGTGCTGTCCCTGTCCCTGTGTCACAGCTGTCCCCGTGTCCCCGCAGGTGGCTCGTGGCCCCAGGCGGCCCTGCAGGAGTTCAAGGGCCGTGCTGTCCCTGTCCCTGTCACTGTCCCTGTCCCCGTGTCCCCGCAGGTGGCGCGTGGCCCCAGGCGGCCCTGCAGGAGTTCGAGCGGCTCACGGGCTGCGCCCGCTGGTGCCCGTTGGTGGCGCGGATCTGCAGCTACGGCCCTGCCAGGACCTGCCCGCGGCCCCGCCTGCGCCTCTTCGCCCAGCGCCACGGACAGGTGCGCCACCGGGGCCACCGGGTGTCACAGGGTGTCACCACAACTGTCACCGGGGTCACCAGGGTCACCAGAGCTGTCCCCACAGCTGTCCCCACGTGTCCTGAGGGTCACCACAACTGTCCCCAGGGTCACCAAGTGTCCCCAGGGTTACCAGAACTGTCCCCAGGGCCACCCCAACTGTCCCTGGGGTCCCCACAGCTGTCCCCAAGTGTCCCCACAGCTGTCCCCAACTGTCCCCAACTGTCCCCAGAACTGTCCCCAAGCGTCCCCACTCCTGGTGTTCCCAGAGCCACAGACAGGTGTGTCACCGGGGTCACCTGTGTCCCTAACGACTGTCCCCAGCTGTCCCCTCACCGCATTCCCGGTGTCCCTGTCCCCACTCCGGTGCCGCGGCCCCGCCTGCGCCTCTTCGCCCAGCGCCACGGACAGGGGCGCCACCGGCCACCGGGTGTCACAGGGTGTCACCTGAACTGTCACCGGGGCCACCGGGTGTCACCGGGTGTCACAGGGTGTCACCTGAACTGTCACCGGGGCCACCGGGTGTCACAGGGTGTCACCACAACTGTCACCAGGGTCACCAGGGTCACCAGAGCTGTCCCCAGGGTCACCAGAGCTGTCCCCACAGCTGTCCCCACGTGTCCTGAGGGTCACCACAACTGTCCCCAGGGTCACCAAGTGTCCCCAGGGTCACCAGAACTGTCCCCAGGTGTCCCCAGTGTCCCCACAGCTGTCCCCAGGGTCACCAAGTGTCCCCAGGGTCACCAGAACTGTCCCCAGGTGTCCCCAGTGTCCCCACAGCTGTCCCCAGGGTCACCAAGTGTCCCCAGGGTTACCAGAACTGTCCCCAGGGCCACCCCAACTGTCTCCAGTGTCCCCATAACTGTCCCCAGGGTCCCCACAACTGTCCCTGGGGTCATCACAGCTGGCCCCAAGTGTCCCCAGGGTCACCACAGCTGTCCCCAGGGTCACCACAACTGTCCTCAGGGTCCCCAGGGTCCCCGCAGCTGTCCCCAAGTGTCCCCAGAACTGTCCCCACTCCTGGTGTTCCCAGAGCCACAGACAGGTGTGTCACCGGGGTCACCTGTGTCCCTAACGACTGTCCCCAGCTGTCCCCTCACCAACTGTCCCCAAGCGTCCCCACTCCTGGTGTTCCCAGAGCCACAGACAGGTGTGTCACCGGGGTCACCTGTGTCCCTAACGACTGTCCCCAGCTGTCCCCTCACCGCATTCCCGGTGTCCCTGTCCCCACTCCGGTGTCCCCGCAGAGCCTGGACGTGGGAGCAGAGCTGGTGCGTTTGGGCTACGCCGTGCCCGGGCCCCCGGAGGAGCCCCCGGTGAGCTGCTCCCGCTGTCCCGTGTCCCCTCCCGTGTCCCCTCCCGGTGTCCCGTGTCCCCTCCCGGTGCCCCTCCCGGTGTCCCTCCCGGTGTCCCGTGTCCCCTCCCGGTGTCCCTCCCGGTGTCCCTCCCGGTGTCCGTCCCGGGCGGGCTCACCCCGCTCTTCCCGGGCAGGACACTCCCGGCTGCGCCCCCGCCCCGAGCCCGGTGGAGCCCGGGGACGGCCCCGGCCCCGCGCCCTGCCTCAGCGAGCCCGGGCCCTGCCGGTGACACCGTGCAGTGACACCGCCCCGGGAGCGGTACCGGGACCCCCCGGCCCGTGCCCGGTGCCACCGGGAGCCGCTCCCGGTGACCCCATCCCGGTGACCCGGAGCCCTCCGGGAGGCCGGACCGACCCATCGCGGGGATCTCCGCCTGTGCCTCTTGCCGGGACACGACACGCCGGGGCCGAGGGCCGGCGGTGCCCCTTCCGTTACCGGGAGTTCCCGGTTCCCTCGCCTTGTTGTGCTGTTCCGTTGCACTAACTGTGGTTCTGAGTTAATAAAGTTGAAGGTTTCTCAGCGCTCCGTCCCCGCCGCGGCGGGAACCGGCGGGAACCGGGCGCAGGCGCGCCGCGGGCAGCCCCCGGTGGGGTCCTTGCACTCCGGTGCGCACATCCCGCGCAAGCGCGCCAGGGCAGGCGCGCCGGGCTCTGCGCAGGCGCAGTGCGGACGGCGTGGGGTCCTCGGCGCCGTGAGGGAGCGGGGCCGCCATGTTGGGCCCGGGGGCGGCGGGACGGGCGCTGAGCCGGGCCCTGAGCCTGAGCCATGGCCCGGTGAGGGCGGGGACACCGGGAGCGGCGGGGCAACGAGCCCTGAGCCTCAGCCATGGCTCGGTGAGGGCGGGGACACCGGGAGTGGCGGGGGGGCGTCTGCGGTTGGGTACCGGGGGCGGGGGACGGGTTTTGACCCAGAGGGGAACCCGGGAGTGGTGGTGCAACGAGCCCTGAGCCTCAGCCATGGCTCGGTGAGGGCGGGGACACCGGGAGTGGTGGGGGGGCGTCTGAGGGTGGGGGACGGGCTTTGACCCAGAGCGGAACGGCCCTGGGGGTGGGCCTGGGGTCGGTACCGGGGGCGGCGGGACGGGCCCTGAACCGGCCCAATAGCCCCGTTATGGAACCCTATAGACCCCATAGAGACTATAGACCCCATAAACCCCTTATAGACTCCTACAGACCTTATAGACCCCATAACCCCCTTATAGAACCCTACAGACCCCATAAACCCCTTATAGAACCCTAGAGACCCCATGGCCCCCTTATAGGACCTTAGAGACCCCATAACCCCGTTATGGAACCCTATAGACCCCACAGCCCCTATAGACACCATAGACCCTACAGACCCCATAACCCCATTATAAAATCCTGTAGACCCTATAGACCCCATAGCCCCATTATGGAACCCCGGAGACCCCATAACCCCGTTACAGAACCCTACAGACCCCACAGCCCCTGTACTGTCCCCAGCCCCATAACCCCCAGCCGAGTTCCCCTCAGGACCTGGAATCCCCCATTAGAGCCCCCCCAGACCCCATAACCCCGTTACAGAACCCTACAGACCCCACAGCCCCTGTACTGTCCCCAGCCCCATAACCCCCAGCCGAGTTCCCCTCAGGACCTGGAATCCCCCATTAGAGCCCCCCCAGACCCCATAACCCCCTGTTGTTATGGGAACATTCCAGAACCCCGCAGGGCTCAGTGCCCCGTGACCATCAGAACCTTCCGGAACGTTCCATGCCCGCAGGGCTCGGTGCCCTGCTCCCATCAGAACCCTTTAGAACATTCCAGAACCCTGCAGAGCTCAGTGCCCCGTTCCCATCAGAACCTTCTGGAACGTTCTGGACCCCTGCAGGGCTCGGTTCCCCGCTCCTATTGGAACCCTTTAGAACATTCCAGAACCCCGCAGGGCTCGGTGCCCTGTGCCCCTCAGAACCCTTTAGAACATTCCAGAACCCCGCAGGGCTTGGTGCCCCGTTCCCATCAGAACGTTCCGGAACATTCTGGACCCCTGCAGGGCTCGGTTCTCCACTCCTATCGGAACCCTTTAGAACCTTCCAGAACCCCACAGGGCTTGATGCCTTGTGCCCATCAGAACCCTTTAGAACCTTCCAGAACCCCGCAGGGCTCAGTGCCCCGTGACCATCAGAACCTTCCGGAACGTTCCATGCCCGCAGGGCTCGGTGCCCTGCTCCCATCAGAATGTTCCGGAACATTCCAGAACCCTGCAGAGCTCAGTGCCCCGTGCCCATGAGAACCCTTTAGAACCTTCCAGAACCCCGCAGGGCTCGGTGCCCCGTTCCCATCAGAACCTTCCGGAACATTCCGGACCCCGCAGGGCTCGGTGGTGGTGGAGCGCGTGTGGCCGGTGCCGCTGGGCCGGGCGGGGGCGGCGCCCCGGCTGCACCCGCGGCGGCACCGCGTAGGCTCGGTGCCCCGTGCCCATCAGAACGTTCCGGAACATTCCGTGCCCGCAGGGCTCGGTGGTGGTGGAGCGCGTGTGGCCGGTGCCGCTGGGCCGGGCGGGGGCGGCGCCCCGGCTGCACCCGCGGCGGCACCGCGTGTACCGGCTGCTGCGGGACGGCAAACACCTGCCCCGGGGCAGCATGGAGCTGCTGCTGACCCGCGCCGTGCAGGGTGAGCGGGCACGGGGCTGGGGGGCCTCGTTCCCTGGGGGGCCTCGTTCCCTGGGGTGCCTCATCCCTTGGGGTGCCTCATCCCTTGGGGTGCCTCATTCCTTGGGGTGCCTCATCCCTTGGGGTGCCTCATTCCTTGGGGTGCCTCGTTCCCTTGGGGTGCCTCATTCCCTGGGGTCTGGGAGTGCCTCATTCCCTGGGGGTCTTCTGGAAGCTCCTCTTTCCCTTGGGGTGCCTCATTCCCTGGGAATCCCTCATTCCCTAGGAGCTCCTCATGTCCTGGGGTCTGGGAGTGCCTCGTTCCGTGGGGTGCCTCATTCCCTTGGGGTGCCTCATCCCTTGGGGTGCCTCATGCCCGGGGAATCCCTCATTCCCTGGGGGTGCCTCGTTCCTTGGGGTGCCTCGTTCCTTGGGGTGCCTCATTCCCTTGGGGTGCCTCGTTCTGTGGGAATCCCTCATTCCCGGGGTATCCCTCATTACCTGGGAGCTGCTCATGTCCCGGGGTCTGGGAGTGCCTCATTCCCTTGGGGTGCCTCGTTCCCTGGGGGTCTGGGAGGGAGTGCCTCGTTCACTGGGAGTGCCTCATTCCCTGGGAATCCCTCATTCCCTAGGAGCTCCTCATGTCCTGGGGTCTGGGAGTGCCTCGTTCCGTGGGGTGCCTCATTCCCTTGGGGTGCCTCATCCCTTGGGGTGCCTCATGCCCGGGGAATCTCTCATTCCCTGGGCTCTGGGGGCTCCTCATGCCCTTGGAATCCCTCATTCCATGGGGTCTGAGTTCCTCACTCCCTGGAGATGTGGGAATTCCTCACTCCCTGGGATCCTGGGATTTCCCAGCATTCCCAGCCGAATTTTAACTCCCAAACCCAACAATCCCGTGGAATTTCTCTTTAATTTGACACAAAATTCCTGGAATTCAGCCCCTTAGGGCTGGACCCCCGAGCTGCCGCGGCAGCTGGGATTCCCTGGCATTCCCGGGTGACTGTTCCCGGTTTTCCTGCCGGGATTCCCGGCATTCCCGGGTGACTTTTCCCAGTTTTCCTGCCGGGATTCCCGGCATTCCCCGGTGACTTTTCCTGGTTTTGCTGCCGGGATTCCCCGGCACTCCCAGGTGACTTTTCCCGGTTTTCCTGCCGGGATTCCCGGCATTCCCCGGTGACTTTTCCTGGTTTTGCTGCCGGGATTCCCCGGCATTCCCGGGTGACTTTTCGTTTTGGGGCTGCGGGCATTCCCGGGTGACTTCTCCCGGTTGTCCTGCCGGGATTCCCGGCATTCCCGGGTGACTTTTCCCAGTTTTCCTGCCGGGATTCCCGGCATTCCCCGGTGACTTTTCCTGGTTTTGCTGCCGGGATTCCCCGGCACTCCCAGGTGACTGTTCCCGGTTTTCCCGGCAGACCTGGGCAGCCGAGGGGACGTGGTGAGCGTGAGGAAGAGCCTGGGCAGGAACAAGCTGCTCCCGCAGGGCCTGGCCGTGTACCCCTCCCCGGAGAACCTGCGCCTCTTCCAGGAGGAGAAGGAGGTCAGGGAGCCCCTCCAGCCTGGGAAAACCCAGGGAAAACAGGAATTGGGGATTTAGGGATCAGCCCACACGCCTTTTGGGGGATTTTTGGGATTTTTGGGTGCTGCTTTCCTTAGGAATGCAATCCTAAATTGAGCTTTGATCCCTAAAAAATTCCTTTGGGGAGCACAGGAGGGTTTGGGATGAGGAGAGAACTCCTGGCCTTGCCAGGCACAATTCCTTCCTCTTTATCCTCCTCCATCCCTGGGATTTTCCCTTTTATCCTCCTCAATCCCTGGTTTTCCCACTTTGCCTCAATCTATTTTCCTCCATTTCTTTTCCTCAATCCCCATTTTTCCCATTTACCTTTCTAAATCCCATTTTCCCTCCTCAATCCCAATTTCCCCCATTTTCTCCCCTCAATGTCTCCCAAATCCCATTTTTTTTCCCCATTTTCCCTTCTCAATCCCATTTTTCTCCATTTTCCCTCCTAAATCCGATTTCTCCCCCTCAAACCCAGTTTTCCCTCCATTTTTCCTCTTAAATCCCATTTTTCCCCCATTTCCCCTTCTCAGCTCCATTTTTTCCCCCATTTCCCCTCCTTAATCCCATTTTCCCCCGTTTTCTCTCCTCAATCCTGTTTTTTCCCCATTTCTTCCCCATTTTTTTCCCTATTTTCTCTCCTCAATCCCGTTTTTTCTCCCATTCCCCTCCTCAATCCCATTTTCCTCCCATTTTCCCCCATTTCCCCTCCTCAATCCCATTTTCCCCATTTTCCCCCCTATTTTCTCTCCTCAATCCCATTTTTTCCCCATTTCCCCCCCCACTTTTCCTCCTCAATCCCATTTTCCCCATTTTCTCTCCTCAAACTCATTTTTTCTCTCCATTTCCCCTCCTCAATCCCATTTTTCCCCCACTTCCCCCATTTCCCCCCATTTTCCCCCCTTTTCCCCCCATTTCCCCCCATTTCCCCCATTTCCCCAATCCCACCCCCCTAATTCCCATCTCCCATTCCCAGCTGGCGCAGCAGGGGAAGCTGGAGGAGCCCCAAACCCAGAGCGGGCAGAAGGTGAGCGGGGTCCCCCATCCCAAGAACCCCCAAATCCCGGGAATTCCCCCGGAATTCCCCCGGAATTCCCGATCCCGTTCCCTCCCCCAGACCCTGGAATTCCTGCGGCGCTGCCGGCTCCAGGTGGGGATGAAGAACAACGTGAGCTGGGAGCTCAGCCCCGACATCGTGGCCCGGCACTTCCTCAAGAACGTGAGAGCATTTCTGGGATTTGGGGGATTTGTGGGATTTTAGGGATTCCCAGGGCCAGACCCCAGGGTTTGGGGTCATTCCCGAAGGATTTGGGGGAGCCAGGCCAGCCCTGCTCCCGGGGTTTGGGGTGGTTCCCTGGTTTTGGGGCCGTTTCTGGGTTTTGGGGTCACTCTTGTTCCGTTGGGTTTTAGGATCATTCCCATGTTTTGGGGCTGTTCCTGGGATTTGGGGCCGTTCCTGGGTTTTGGAGCCATTTTTGGGTTTTGGGGTCACTCCCAGGATTTGGAGTCACTCCCTGGTTTTGGGGTCATTGCCGGGTTTTGGGATCATTCCCAGGTTTTGGGATCATTCCTGGGTTTTGGGGCTGTTCCTGCCATGTGGGGCCATTTCTGGAATTTGGGGTCATTCCCAAAGGCTTTGGGGTTTCCACAGGGTTTGTGGGGGGCTCTCCCAGCCCTGCTTTCAGGATTTGGGGTCATTCCCAAGAATTGGGATCATTCCCAGGATTTGGGATCATTCCCAAAGGGTCTAGGGGGCTCTGACCTGCCTCTGTTCCTGGGTTTTGGGGTCAAATCTATTCCTAGGATTTGGGGTTCCCAAAGGATCTGGGGGGGCTGGGATGGGGCTGTGGGGGGGTCTGGGGGCTGTGCCTGCCCCTGCTGCTGGGATTTGGGGTGAAACCCCGGGATTTGGGGTGGGACCCTGGGATTTGGGGTGAAAGCCCCAGATTTCGGGTGACACCCCGGGTTTGGGGTGACCCCCCGGGTTTGGGGCCGTGCCCGTTGTGTTCCCGTGCCAGCTCGGGGTGTTCGTGCCCCCCCACGCCCTGCGGCTGCCACCGGAGCCCATCACACGCTGGGGACACTTCTGGTGTGACGTCACGGTGAGGGGACAGGGGACACGGGGACAGGGGGACACGGGGACAGGGGACACGGGGACAGGGGACAGGGGGACAGGGGGGCCCCTTGCACCCCATTCCCCCTCATTTCCTCCCCATTTCCCCCAATTTCCCTTCCACTTTCTCCCCATTTCCCCCTCATTTCCACCCCATTTGGGGACGGGGGACAGGGGACAGGGGGACATGGGGACAGGGGACACGGGGACAGGGGGGACCCCTTGCACCCCATTCCCCCTCATTTCCTCCCCCTTTCCCTCTCCTGTTCCTCCCTCATTTCCTCCCCATTTCCTCCAGTTTCCCTTTTCATTTTTCCCCATTTCCCCCCCATTTCCCCCAATTTCCCTTCCACTCCCACCCCATTCCCCCTCATTTCCTCCCCCTTTCCCTCTCCTGTTCCTCCCTCATTTCCTCCCCATTTCCTCCAGTTTCCCTTTTCATTTTTCCCCATTTCCCCCCCATTTCCCCCAATTTCCCTTCCACTCCCACCCCATTCCCCCTCATTTCCTCCCCCTTTCCCTCTCCTGTTCCTCCCTCATTTCCTCCCCATTTCCCTCTCCCATTTCCCCCCTTTTTCCCCAATCCTCACTCCCAATTTCCCTTCCACTCCCACCCCATTCCCCCTCATTTCCTCCCCATTTCCCTCTCCTGTTCCTCCCTCATTTCCTCCCAATTTCCCCCAATCCTCACTCCCAATTTCCCTTTTCACTTTTTCCCCATTTCCCCCAATTTCCCTTCCACTCCCACCCCATTCCCCCTCATTTCCTCCCCATTTCCTCCAGTTTCCCTTTTCATTTTTCCCCATTTCCTCCCCATTTCCCCCAATTTCCCTTCCACTTCCTCCCCATTTCCCCCTCACTTCCACCCCATTTCCCTCTCCCATTTCCCCCCATTTTCCCCAATCCTCACTCCCAATTTCCCTTTTCATTTTTCCCCATTTCCTCCCCATTTCCCCCAATTTCCCTTCTACTTTCTCCCTATTTCCCCCTCACTCCCACCCCATTTCCCTCTCCCATTTCCCCCCATTTTCCCCAATCCTCACTCCCAATTTCCCTTTCACTCCCACCCCATTTCCCCCAGTTTCCCTTTTTACTTTTTCCCCATTTCCCCTCATTTCCTCCCCATTTCCCTCTCCTGTTCCTCCCTCATTTCCTCCCCATTTCCCCCAATTTCCTTTTTCACTTTTCCCCCATTTCCTCCCCATTTCCCCCAATTTCCCTTCCACTTTTCCCCCATTCCCCCTCACTCCCACCCCATTTCCCTCTCCCATTCCCCCTCATTTCCTCCCCATTTCCCCCAATTTCCCTTCCACTTTTCCCCCATTCCCCCTCACTCCCACCCCATTTCCCTCTCCCATTCCCCCTCATTTCCTCCTTTTTCCCCAAATCCCCTCTCCCAATTTCTCTTCCCCCTCTCTTCCCCCTCCCCATTTCCAGCTGATTTCCCCCATTTTCCTCTCCCATTTCCCCCTTCTCCCTCCAGCTGGGAACATTGGGGTGATCCAGGGGATTTTGGGGTGCTCTGCTGGGTTTTGGGGTGCTTTTGGGGTCCCCAGGTGAACGGGCTGGACACGGTGTGGGTGCCCATGGCCGTGGTGCCCCGGGGGTGGTTTTGGGGTGGCTCAGGTGTTTTTGGGGTTGTTTTGGGGTGGCTCAGGTGTTTTTGGGGTGTTTTTGGGGTGGCTCAGGTGTTTTTGGGGTGGTTTTGGGGTGGCTCAGGTGTTTTTGGGGTGGTTTTGGGGGTGGCTCAGGTGTTTTTGGGGTGGTTTTGGGGTGGCTCAGGTGTTTTTGGGGTGGTTTTGGGGCCCCAGGTGAACGGGCTGGACACGGTGCGGGTGCCCATGGCCGTGGTGCCCCGGGGGTGTTTTTGGGGTGTTTTTGGGGTGTTTTTGGGGTGACTCAGGTGTTTTGGGGTGGGTTTGGGGTCCCCAGGTGAACGGGCTGGACACGGTGCGGGTGCCCATGGACGTGGTGCAGTTCCTGCACCCCAAAACCAAATGCTTCCGGCACTGGCAGCAGCAGCAGCAGCAGCAGCTGGAGAGCAGCAGGGAGCGGCTCCTCTGACCCCCCCCGGGGATTTGGGGTCCCCTCCGAGGGATTTGGGGTCCCCAGAATGGATTTGGGGCCGTTCCCCCCTCTTTGGGATCCCCTCACCTCTGTGGAACTCCCGGACGTCGCCCAATTCCCAGAGCAGCAGCTCAGGAATTTTGGATCCTCCTGAGCCCCCCCAAATCCCCCCGAACCCCACTCTGGTCCAGGGGGGTCCCTGGGGAGGATTTGGGGTCCCCGGGGTGGATTTGGGGTCCCCAGGATGGATTTGGGGTTCCCAGGATGGATTTGGGGCCATTCCCCCCTTTGGGACCCTGTGGAAAAGGGGGTTCAGTGGAATTTTGAGGGACTCTGGAATTCCTGTGGGATCCCCGGGACCCTCCCTTGAACCCCAAAATCCTGGGGGTCCCAGGGATGGATTTGGGGTCCCCGGGGTGGATTTTGGGGTCCCCGGGATGGATTTTGGGGTTCCCCCTTTTGGGATCTCCAGGGTCTGGAGCAGGAATCCCCCCAGAAAAGGGGATCAGGATTTTTTTGGGGGGTCCCAAACTTTTGTGGGGTCTCCTGGATTTTGGGGGGGGTCTCAAAGTTTTGGGGGCTGTAGGATTTGGGGAAGAAAAGGCCAAATGTTCCTGGGAGTTTTCCCAAAAAAAGGGAATTTTGGGATCGGAATTTCGGCTGTCCTGAATGAATTCTTGGGGGCGGGGCCCACCTGGGGAAGCCCCGCCCCCCCGGCCAGGTGAGCCCGTGTCCCCAAAGTCCCCAAGGCCCCACAAGGGGGGTCCCCACCTGCCCCGTGTCCCCTGGGGGGGGTGGCGGTGCCACCTGGGCTGTCACCGGCTCGTTGCCATGGCAACGGCGGGGGGGACACGGCTGGGGACAGCGGGGGGGGGACACCGGAACACCGAGGGGGTGACACTGGGGGGGTGACACCGAGGGGTGGCACCGGCGCACGGGCGGGGAGGGGGCGGGGCTGACTTCAGCACCGGGGACAGCACCGGGAGGGGACAGCGCCACGCGGGGGGAGGGGACACGCGTGGGCGCACACCGGGCCCTCCCCCACCTCCCCCCGTCCATCCGCGCGTGCGCGGCCCCGGGCCCCGCCCCCTCCCCAAAACATCCCGGTACCGGAGCCCGGGGCCCCCTCCCGGTTCCCGGGCCCGCTGCCGGTGCTGTCCCCGGTGCCGTCCCCGGTGCCCGGTTCCGAGCGCCCCCTCCCCGTTCCCGGTTTCCGTCCCGGTGTTGCCGCCGCTGCCCGGCACCCCACGGCCGGTCCCGGTAGTCGGTTCCCGGTATCCGGTGCTCGGCCCCCGGTCCCGGTAGCCGGTTCCCAGAGCCCCATCCCCGGTCCCGGACTCCAGGTCCCGCTGTTGTCGCCGGTGCCGGTGCCCGGCAGCCAGAACCCCGTGCCGCGGTGCCGGTGCCCGTTATCCGGTCCCGGTTCCCGGTGCCGGTCCCCGTAGCCGGTCCCCAGTTCTCCGTCCCCGGTTCCGCTCCCCGGGCCCGGTGTCGTGGCCGGTGCCGGTCCCCGGTGCCGCTCTGACATCAGCACCGGGCGGGGCGGGGCGGGGCGGCTCCAACCGGGGAAGAAAAGCGTCTCCCGGTGCCGATCCCGGTGCCGGTACCCGGTTCCCGGTGCCGCTGCCCCAGCGGCCGGGGGGGCTCGGCCACCACCGGGGCTCTCGGGGACCGGCGGCCGCCGCGGCCGCCATGGCCCGAACCGGGCGCTGAGCTCCCCCCGCCCCCCGCCCGGTACCGGGACCCTCCCCGAGGCCACCGGGGCGGTACCGGCGGGGCGGGCGCTCGCAGCATCCACCGGGATTTTGGGGAGCAGCGCCCGGGAAACGGCCGGGACGCACCGGGAGCGCCGGGAGCGCCGCCCCCCGGGCAGAGCTGCCCCCGCCCCGCCGCGCCCCGTCCCCGGAGCCGAGCCGAGCCCCGGGGCCGCCTCGTCCTTTGTGTGCGCCGGGGCACCGGGCACCGCCGCGAGCACCGGGAGCCGAGCCCGGGCGGTGATAGCGGGGAGCGGGAGCGGCCCCGGGGCCCGGGGACCCCCCGGCGGCCCCATGAAGGAGCCCGACGCCATCAAACTCTTCGTGGGGCAGATCCCGCGGCACCTGGAGGAGAAGGACCTGAAACCGATTTTTGAGCAATTCGGGAAAATCTACGAGCTCACCGTCATCAAGGACAAGTACACCGGGATGCACAAAGGTACGGCAACCGGCACCGGCAGCCGGGAACCGGGGGTGGCGAAGGGAACGGCCCCGGGGGACGGGAGCGGGCAGCGGGAGTGGGGCAGGGGCAGCGGGCACGGGGGTGGGAGCGGGGCACGGGCACGGCGGTGTGGGGGCAGCCCCGGGATCGGCCCCCGGTACCGGGATCGGCCCCAGCATGTGGCTCCCGGTACCGGGAATGGCCCCAAATACCGGGATCGGCCCCAGGATGTGGCCCCCGGTACTGGGAATGGCCCCCGGTACCGGGATTAGCCCCAGGATGTGGCCCCCGGTACCGGGAATGGCCTCGTGATGAGGCTCCCAGTACCAGGAACAGCTCCCAGCACCGGGAACAGCCCCCGGTACCGGGAATAGCTCCCAGGATGAGAAATATCCCCGGGGTTCAGCCCCCGGTACCGGGAACGGCCCCAGGATGTGGCCCCTGGTACCGGGGGCTGCCCCTGGGACCGGGAACAGCCCGAGGAGATGCCCCCGGTACCGGGAGCGGCCTTGTGATCCGGCCCCCGGTACTGGGAACAGCCACGAACGCCGGGAATAGCCCCGGGGTACGGCCCCGGTACCGGGAGCAGCCCCGTGCCACGGCCTCCAGCACCAGGAACAGCTCCCGGTACCGGGAACAGCTCCCAGCACCGGGAATGGCCCCGTGACACAGCCCCGGGACCGGGAACAGCCCCGGGATGGGGTCCCCGGGACCGGGAACAGCTCCCGGTACTGGGAATGGCCCCAGGATACGGCCCCGGTACCGGGAACAGCCGTCGGCACCAGGAGCAGCCCCGGATAGGGCCTGGGGCACCAGGAACAGCCCCGGGTACAACCGGGGCACCGGGAACAGCCCCGGTACCGGGAACAGCCCCAGGAACAGCCCCGGGTACAACCGAGGGCCCCGGTACCGGGAACAGCCCCCGGTAACCGGAACAGCCCCGGTGTTGGGAGCCACTCCAGATCCAACCTCCGGTACCGGGAACAGCCCCACGAACGGTACCGGGTACAACCGAGGGTACAGGGAACTGGGAACAGCCCCCAGAACAGCCCCCGGTACCGGGAACAGCCCCGGGTACAACCGAGGGCCCCGGGAACAGCCGCAGGAACAGCCCCAGCACAGCCAAAGGCCTTGAGCAACACCCACAGCTCAAACTACAGCCGCAGGCCTGGGCACAGCCCCGGGCACTATCGGCACCAGGAGCAGCCCCGTGACAGGGCCTGGGGCACCGGGAACTGCCCCGGGTACAACCGGGGCACCGGGAACTGCCCCGGTACCGGGAACAGCCCCGGGAACAGCCCCAGGTACAACCGAGGGCCCCGGTACCGGGAACAGCCCCAGGAACAGCCCCGGGTACAACCGGGGCACCGGGAACAGCCCCGGTACCGGGAACAGCCCCAGGAACAGCCCCGGGTACAACCGAGGGCCCCGGTACCGGGAACAGCCCCCAGTAACCGGAACAGCCCCGGTGTTGGGAACCACTCCAGATCCAACCTCCGGTACCGGGAACAGCCCCACGAACGGTACCGGGTACAACCGAGGGTACAGGGAACTGGGAACAGCCCCCAGAACAGCCCCCGGTACCGGGAACAGCCCCGGGTACAACCGAGGGCACCGGGAACAGCCGCAGGAACAGCCCCAGCACAGCCAAAGGCCTTGAGCAACACCCACAGCTCAAACTACAGCCGCAGGCCTGGGCACAGCCCCGGGCACTGGGAACAGCCCCGGGTACAGCCGAGGGCACCGGGAACAGCCCCAGGCACCAGGAACAGCCGCAGCCCCCCAGCCCAGCCGGGGTACCCCGTGTCAGGGTGTTGTACCCCGGGTGTTGGGGGCGAGGGCGGCTGTGCGGGGTGGGCAGGGGTTGTGTCAGGTGTGGGGTGTTGTGTCCGGCTGTTGTGGGGCTGGGTGAGTGCAGGCTGTTGTTGCTGGGTTGTTGTTCAGGTGTTGTTGGGGTGTTATTGGGCTGGTTTTTTGCTGGGCTGTCGTTGTCAGGGTGTTGTTGGGGTGTTGTTGTTGGGTTGTTTCTGGGGTGTCGTTGTCAGGGTGTTGCTAGGCTGTTGTTAGGTGCTGTTGGGCTGTTGTTGGGGTGTCGTGCCCGGCTGTAGTGCTAGGTGCTGTTGTTGTCAGGGTGTTGCTAGGCTGTTGTTGTTAGGTGCTGTTGGGCTGTTGTTGGGGTGTCGTGCCCGGCTGTAGTGCTAGGTGGGTGCCAGGCGCTGCCGGGTGTTGTTTCGGGTGTTGGTGTCCCATGGGTGCCCCTCCAGGTGACACCCGGCCCTGGCGGTGTTGTGGTGTCGCGTCAGGGGCTGGGCTTGGTGTCAGGGCGTTGTTTTGGGGTGCCATGTGGGTGCTGGCTGTCACCCCATGGGGCCCTGTGAGGGTGACACCAGCGCTGGGTGTCCCTCGGGATGTCTGGGGGTCATTTTGAGGTGTCCAGGTGTCATTTTGGGGTTTCCGGGTGTCATTTTGAGGTTTCTAGGTGTCGTTTTGGGATGTCTGGGTGTTGTTTTGGGGTTTCCAGGTGTTGTTTTGGGGTTTCCAGGTGTTTTGAGGTTTCCAGGTGTTGTTTTGGGGTGCTGTGTCTGTCGTTGGGGTGTCACATGTCACCCCGTGTGTCCCTGGGGGTGACACCGGGGGTCCCTGGGGGCGGGGGTGTCACACCCGGCGGTGACAATGACAGGGCCCTGCCGGGGGTGTCCCCAACACCCGGGGGGGTCCCTGAGCCCCCCAAACCCCCGGCACCGACTGTGCCTCGATGGCACCAAAAACTGGGGGGGTCTCGAGGGGTCCTGGGGTCTCTGTGGGACCCCCAGGGGTCTTGGGGGGCTCCCTGCCCCAAAATGGGGGTCTGGGGGGCTTTGGGGTGGGGTCTGTGGGGGTTGTTTGGGGTCTGTGGGGGGGTCTGGGGTCTCTGGGGGGATTTGGGGTCTTTGGGGGGGTCCCGCTGCTTTTGGGGCTCTCTGGCCACTCCAGACCCTCTGTGTCACCTCGGGCTGGGGGTGAGGCCCCCCGGGGGTCCCCCCCAAGCCCCCCGACCCCTTTTTTGCCCCCCAGGATGCGCCTTCCTGACCTACTGCGCCCGCGAGTCGGCCCTGAAGGCGCAGAGCGCCCTGCACGAGCAGAAAACCCTGCCGGGGGTGAGTGGGGGGCGTGGGGAACCCCCCCGGGGCGCCCCCAAACCCCCCCTGTGAGCCCCCAGCCCGGGACACCCCAAAATCCCCGAAAAATCACAGTGAGACCCCAAAAATCACAGGGAAACACCCCAAAAATCACAGGGAAACACCCCAAAAATCACAGGGAAACCCCAAAAATCACAGTGAAACACCCCAAAAATCACAGTGAAACCCCAAAAATCGCAGTGAAACACCCCAAAAATCGCAGTGAAACCCCCCAAAAATCACAGTGAGACCCCAAAACTCACCCTGAAACCCCCCAAAAAATCACCTATAACCCCCCAAAAATCACCCTTAAATCCTCCAAAATCGCCCCTAAAAATCACCCTGAAACCTCCCCAAAATCACCCCTAAATCCCCCCAAAAATCCCCCCACCCCCCCTTTTCAGGACCACCCCGGCCCCAGCAGAGGGGGGGATTTTTGGGGGGCTGGGGGCGCCCCCGAGCACGTGTGGGGTGTTTAATTAGCGCCGCTAATGAGGGCCTGGCGCTAATGAAGCGCTGCCGGGCGGGCACGGAGACAAAGCCCGGGATTGGGGGGGGGGTCCGGGGGTGCCGGTGCCCCCCACCCCCAATTCCTGTTCGGGAGGGGGTCCCAGTCCCATTCCCTCCCCCCAGCCGGATTTTGGGGGGTTTGGGGCTTCCTGGGGGGGGGCGG